GACGTAGGGGAAACAGTCACGGGGTCAGGGGAAGGGGTATCTGGGCTGGTTTCGCGTCCCTCCGGGATACTCGGTGCGTGGACCGCGGCGGCCGCAGGACCAGCGGGGCCTCGTGGAGGCGCGTGCGGCGCACAATGCGGGGCTTGGGCAGTGGTCCCGCTCGGGGTCCCCCAGCCCCGCCTGACAACAATGCTGACGTGGCAGCCCCGTCTCCCGGCCTCCGGGTGGGTGAGTGGACGTCCCCGAGGACGATGTGCGGGGCCGCGACAGCGAGGGCAGCTGTCCTCCCCTGGGGCCGGCTGCAGGCGCCCAGGAGGGGACGAGGACGCGCTCCCGCTCCCTTCTCTGTGCCTGCGCTGACCTCAGCGCCCCTCGGAGCCTGGCGCCCTGTGTCCCCCCAACCCCAAGCTGGCTACTGCCCTCTCCAAGGCAAGGCCACCCTGAGTCCTGCGTCCACCGCGTGCCGCCCCAGGACTCGCTATCTGCGTACCTACGCGTAAAATGCGTTTTTAGCCTTTTTATTAAAAGCATAAAAGTAGAAAGTATTTTTTATTCCTCTTGTTTCTAAGACGTCATTCATGCTGAGCCCCGCGGCCTTGCTCTTCTGCTCCGGTACCCGCCGTGGCGTGATCCAAAGCCTCACAAATACTTGTTGTTGAAAATATAGCTATTTTTCACTTAAAATGTCATTTATGCTACTAATGGGTTTGTTAATTTTTAATTAAATATTTTCAAGTTTCACTTTACCCTCTAACATGGGAAATTATGATAGATAAAACCTGGATAAAATCCACATACACCGAAGCTTTGTGGGCTGGGGGTCCTGGATCGTTCCTGAGCACTGCGGTGAGTCGTCACGTGGTCACCACAGCCTGGCCAATGACACTGCCCTGCTCTGTGAAACCAGAAACAATGGGAAAACCCAGTGGGCTTCCCTGTGGGGGGCCGGCGGGCAGGTGTCACTTGTTTAAAGACATGAAAAGTTAGAAAGTTGCCACCAGAGGCCATGGGAAACCAACTTTACAGAACCGAGGTCAGCGCTTCCCTTCCAGCGACCTCAGAGGGGCTCGCGATGGAGAATGTCCCCTCCTCAAGCTGGGGCGCCTGTGTCCTAGGATGGCTCAAAAAAAATAAAGCTTTATACGCTTGCAGGACATTCCACGAAACGTCTAATGGGGAAACAAGCTCCAAGGACACAGGCGTCATGGCCACCTGCACCCCGCTCCCACCCACGGGCTGTGTGACTGAGCCCGCTGGCCACCCGCCCCAGCAGAACGCGCACCCCGCAGCCGTTCCCCAGCCTGGCCGCCCGCAGGTGAAAGGCAGGCTGTGCAGATGGCGGGCGTCCTCCGGCGCTGGGACAGTCCCCCAAAGAGGGCGTGGCATGCACAGTGCAGGCACCGTCACTCAGGAGGGAAATGCAGGTTAGATGGCCGCACGGGAGACAGCCTGACGACACCCAGGGTGGGGCACGGCCGCTCCGGCCAGTGTTTTGTTGTCTTTTTCTTTCTTTAATAATAGTTCCTTTTTCAGAGCGATTTCAGGTTCAGACAGAAGCCGAGCAGTAAGTTTTAGGAGTTTTTCATATAGCCTAGATACTAGCCCTTTATCAGGTATACGATTTGCAATATTTTCTCCCATTCTGTGGCGTGTCTTTTTACTCTAATCATAGTGTTTGATATAAAACTTCTTAATTTTCACAAGTCTAATTTGTCTTTTTTTTGTTTTTTTTTTTTTTGCTGCCTGTACCTTTGGTGTTATTTCCAAGAAGTCACTGCCAAGTCCAGTGTCGTGAAGTTGGCGCCCTGTGTTTTCTTCTAAGAGTCTTACAGTTTTAGGTCTCGCGTTTAGGTCTTTGATCCGCTTTGAGTTAGTCTTCGTATCCGGTGTGAGGTCAGGGTCAGCTTCATTCTTCTGCACGTGGACACCCAGTGCTCCCAGCACCATTTGTTGAAAAGACAGCTCTGGCACCTGGCCGTGCGACCACACGGGCTGACGCGGCAGCGGTTACCAGGTGGTATGAATTCGTCCACTGCGGACAATGGGGAGCTTCGCCTCACGCTGGGCTCGGACTCTGCTTTCCTCACTTTCCTGCTGTGAAACCTTAGGCAAGGCCACCATCCTGCTCTCCCCTCCCTCCCCCTCAGGCCTGGGTGGCGGTCGTGGGGTTTAGGTGCCCAGACACCAGGCCCGGGCTCTGGCATGGCGGAGGCTCTGTGGCCCCATGTGGCCCCATCATCGGATGTGGCGGCCCACGTCTGTGTACTGGAGTACCCTGACAGTGTTCGAACCCCGGGGACCACCCGCCCCTCTGCCCGGGGCCACCACGGCTGTCGGGCGACTGTCTCCACCCAGCTCATCCCCCTGGAAAGCACACAGCTGCCAGGCACCCGGGACAGAGGTCAGACGGCAGGGACCCTCGAGTCTGTTAAACTAACGCTGTGTTCTGGGCATTTCGTCACTTCCAGCAACGGGCTTTGATCCCCCAGAGGAAGATGGTCAATCAGAGCTCCCGGACCCCTTGTCTGTAAGTACCCCTGACACCTACCCCGAGACGTCACAAGTACCCCCAATACCTTCCCTCCAAGAGGTCACAAGTACCCCCAGTGCCTTCCCCAGAGACGTCACAAGTATCCACGATGCCTCCCCCCGAGATGTGACCAGTATTTCCCGTGCCTTCCCCGCTGTGAGCAGCCGTGTTCTGGAACAGTCCGTTTGCTGGGCCAACACCAAAGAACACACGGTCCAAACCCCCGCTCGGCCACAGCCGACCCGCAGCCTTTCCGAGACGCCAGGTGCAAACTGCTCGGCACAAAAATGTGGACGACAAGCATTTTTAAAGAATCTTTATTCAGAGCTGGGGCTTAACGTTTGTCTCCACAGACTTGTACCAGTCCTCAAAAACACGCCACACGTGGCTGGGCTGCTAGGTGCTGTTTCCACAGGTGGGCGCTGACAGCTGTCACGTATGGTGACGTGAGCCCGTCACGGATGTGCTTTCTCGCCTGACATATCTGTGTCGAGTAGGGTGAACGTTGGTGGGGACCAGCCATACGAACGCCCAGCGGCGCAGGGAGGACCCATGTCCGCGTGTCGTCACCCTCTGCACAGAACATGTGACCCAGGACAGAGAAGCAGTGTGTCCAGTGAAGGACTGATGGCCACTAAGCTCACTCCAGGGACTCGGAAAGGCTGCGTCCACTGTACACACCCCTATGCCACACACGCAGGAGACAGGGGTCCCGGCCAGGCTCACGCGGACTATGCCTGGCCGCACGCTCTCATCGGGGGCCCGGCCTGCGCACCCCGCTCGGGACGAGGAACGGCCTTCGGAAGATGTTTGCAAGTCTGAACGCTGACACGGGAGCAGCCGAGACTAGGAAGAGCCCTGTCCCCCCTCGGCCCCGCCCCGGGCCCCCGGTCCACGCAGGGCCCGCCGCCCCCCACGGCCGAGCCCAGGGCCGCTGGCGCATCCACTCTTCGGAGCTCGTTCTCACTCTCGGCTGTCTTCCTGTCACGGTCCCTCGTGGGCGCGTGGCCCTCAGAGATCCCCACCCGCTGGGAGCACTCGTCCTAAAGAGCGGGGTCCCGAGGGAGGCTTCCTGCGGGGCCGCGACGGCTGCGGCTCACGGGGGCCTCCTGGTGGCGTGGGTCTTATCCTGTTCCGACTCCCCGACCTTGTGGTCCGACAAGGCCGCAGTGGGCAGGCGGCACGTCCCACTGGACAGCTCCGGGCCCGTCAGGACGCGTGGGCCGGACCACTCGAGGTCGCAGGGCTGCTCTGGCCCCCTCCGGGGTGGCCCGGCCCCTGGCAGGCGTCTCCCAGCACCAATCGTGTGTCTGGCCGATCTTCAGGCTGACCCTCCACCAAGCACCAGCAGCACGAGCTTTGGGGACAGTCTGAGAGAGTGGCCAGGACAATTGTGACGCTGCTCAGGGGGGCCCTTCCTGGGCCACTTCTATCCTGTGTGTGTGTGGGGGGGTGACGCAGCCTCACACGGCACTTCGCCGCTACGGGCGTGTGCCTGCGGGGAAGCCCCGGGAAGCCCGCCCCGATGCAGACGAGCAGGATTCGGAGGCTGCGTTTGCTGCAGCCCAGAGCGACAAATGCTGTGACTCTCAAGAGGGACCGACGCCTGCTTCTCTGTGACCTTCTCGTGAGTGGGGTCATGCCCGGGCAAGAAGCCCCCGGTGCTGGTGACGCCCCGACCCTTGACCTCGCCGGGAGGGTGGCACGGCTCCTGGGGCAGCCCCGCACCAGCCCCACGACCCACACACGTCGCCCGTCCCTGACACGGGCGCTTGAATCCGGTCAGCACCAGTGTCCCCACCACCTCAATCCTCATTTTCCATGAAACACGCTCCGAGACGTCGGCTGTTTGCGGCCGGCTCTCCGGCGACTCAGAGACGTGGCACCGGATGGACAGGCACGCAGCGGAGCCCCGGCCCTAAGGAGCGGCCCAAACGAGGTTCTGGGCACATGCTAAGGCCGCAGTCACACGGTGGCCCACAAGAAGGCTGTCCCTTTCCCCGCGGGCCGAACGCGTTGCAGACACGGCCCGCGGCCCCGGCATCCGGCGTCTCCTTCGACTCCCCGGCTGGGCACCGTGGGACCCAGGCCTGACCTCAGGGGAGGACGTAGACGTGCAGACCCTGTCACTGGTCACTGGAGGCAGCGACAGAGGGGTGACCCATCGGAAGTGACAAACTGCCCTGCCGTCCTTGCGTCCTGGAGCCGGGCCTCCAACATGGCCTGGTGGCGCATGGGTGGCCACGGAACGCAGCCTCGGCCAGGCACACAGGCCGCCTGTCTGGCCCGGGCCCCCCAGAAGCCCCGCTCCGAGCGACCCCGTGGCCTCCACAGCTGCAGAGTCGAGCCGTCAGAGCACGTCTGCACTTTTAAATCTTTTAGTTACAAATGTGATTTTGAAGCCTGGCCACACAGCGAGGACACCCTCTCGCTGGGAATCCACACAACTGCACGTGCGTGTGCTTGTGTGCACATGCCGGTGCATGCGTGTGCCCGTGTGCCAGCGTTGCCTGGTTGCCTATGCCCCGGTGAGCCCATGCGTGTGCGTACACGTGCATGGTGGTGCCTGTGTCGCGTGCACGTGCGCTTAGCCTGCGAGCCTGTGCGCAGCATCGCGTCTGGTGCACAGAGCGGTCCCAGAATCCAGAGCGTGGATGTTCCCACAGCAGGGAAACGGTCACCTGATCGGGACAGACGCCTACATGGACGCGCGCCTGCTTTGTTAGCCGGCTGCCGTGTGCCCGTCAGCAGACCCGGCCCCGCACGCCTGTCCTTTAAACATGCACGCTAGACAACAGAGACACACAGGCACTGTGGCACAGGCTCATCGTTTTAAGAAATGACTCACTCTGTGACATGGGCTGGGCCCTGGGGGCTGGGAGTGGACGTGGCCAGAACCAGGGCTCCCTTCAGGGTTGGGGCAGGCCAGGGGCTTCCGGTCAGCAATGCCAATGCTCCCGGCCGCCCTGGGTTGTTAGGGTGATGCTCCCTTCTGGACAGCATACATCTGGTGATTGATGCACACCTTGCTCTTCAGCAAATTCTATTGGAGTAGTTTTAACTTAAATATTTTAAAAGTAATCTTTACATTATTGGAGACTGATAAAAATACAGAATCTGACAACTATTCATTTCATTCAGTCTGATGCTTTGAAAAGCTTCGCTTACGTGTCACCATAATTTAAAAAGCAATCCCTGGCCCGCAGAAAGCTCTTTGCAGGGTTATTTTCCAGATCCATCCTTTCCTGTTATTGGTCCAGATTTAACGCACTTTCAGAAACCCCTGACGCCCCATCTAAGGAGGCGTGCGGCCCCTTCCTGTCGCGTCCTTTGGTTCTAAGTGGTATGCAGAGGCTGCGGTCGGCTGAAGCAGCCCTGGCTAATTGTTGTCGCACAGAAGCACATGACGAGCCCCCTTCTCAGGCCTGGCTGCAGGCGTGGCGGCCCCGAGGCGGCTCTATGAAGAGACCACAGCAGTGGCCGGTGTTTGGCAGCCGGAGTCCATTAGGATTGAGTCCTTGGCCGGGGTGCTTGGTCGGACGGAGCCCAGCCTTGAGGGTCCGGGCCCCGGGGCCACGCCAGGCCTCAGTAGATGTCTGGGCAGCCTGAGAAATCCCGCTCGAAGTAGCCCCCTGCGTACAGCCAGTCGGGGGTCCCGGTGTGCGGGTTCCTGCCCTGGCGAAACCACCTGCAACACAGAGGAGGCTCAGGGACCGGCCGAGGAGGGACAGGCCGAGGAGGGACCGGCCGAGGAGGGACCGGCCGAGGAGGGACCGGCCGAGGAGGGACGGGCTGTGGAGGGACCGGCCGAGGAAGGACCGGCCGAGGAGGGACGGGCCGAGGAGGGACGGGCCGTGGAGGGACGGGCCGTGGAGGGACGGGCCAAGGAGGGACGGGCCGAGGAGGGACAGGCCGTGGAGGGACGGGCCATGGTCCCGGACAACGTCCCTCTGCAGGCCCACGTGGCTCCAACGTGCATTTTAAGTGCAGCGCAGGGCCTCCCTCCACTTTGGACGCGCTCCCCTACAAACGTCCCGATGTCACTTCCCGACAAAACCTCAAGGGTTTCATGGAAGATGCCTGGGCCGTCACGAGGGTCACAGGACCTTAAGCCACCCCGAGCCTCTCATGGTGGGACCGTCATAGTGCCCCTCCCTCCCCTCGAGCAGGCCAGGTCTGTGTGTCAGCAGGAGAGCAGGGAGACACCATGGGCGGTGCATGCGTGTGCCGGAGGTCATGGTGGCCCCCGACCCATCGGAGAAGCCAATTCAGTCACTAACACCGGCTCCCAACCAGCACTCAGCGCCTGCGGCCTCAGCATGCGGTCAGAAGAGCATCTGCTTCAGAACGTGGAGACAACAAAGGGGCCCTCCCCACTGCCCCGGGGGGCGCGGGGCCCCTGTGTCCCCTCGCGCACGGGCCTCACCTGGTCTGCCACTCGGCCCCCTCCCTGGCGCGCTCCCTCCGGGCCTCCCTCTGCTTCTCCTCCAGCCGCTCCTTCTCCTGGCTGGCCAGGTCTAGGGCAGGCACACAGAGCTGGGTGAGGGGCCGGGGCGGACGGCGAGGCCCCTAGTCCCTCTCTGCTGGGAACCACGCAGCGGGGACCACTGGAAAGCCAAGCCCGTCACCAGAGCTCGGGCCTGTGCGCAGCAGCCCCCAGCGTGCGTCACCCACGGGAGCCGTGCCCCCTGTGAAGCTGGCCGCGTCCCCAGACCTGCAGGGTCGGCCGCTGCACCACCCCCCCAACAGCACCGCCTGTCAGCACCGTCCACGGCAGCTCCCTGCTACAACACCACGGGAACGCGCCCGCAGGAGCCCGGCGCCACCGGACTGTCGCTGACCTGACCCAGGGCAGTGCGTGAGTGAGGCGGGCTGGCCGCCACGGCGACACCTCCCCGCGCCCCACACGGCAGCGCCTCCCCACAGCGGCCGACGGGCGACACGTGCAGCAGTGGCCCCACGAGTCGGCCACGTGGACATCTAACGAGCACCGCGCCCCGCTGACCCGACAGAAGCCTCGGGACATGGCTGTCCCGTTCACGCCGCGGGGGGCGTGACGTCACTGCGTCTACGGAAGGGCTGGCCTGCGACGGCCTAGCCAGTCCCACAAGCCCCCGGCACAGATGGGGCGCTCCGTGCTCGGGGCAGGCGGTTGGCGGGCCTGTCCTTGCTGTCCCCGGGGCCCGGTGCGCACCCATGTTGCCGTCCTCCATGCCGCGGATGTCGGGGCGCAGGCGGCAGTCAGTGGGAGCCAGGATCTTCTCCATGCCCGTCTGCAGCTCGTTGAGGCTGACGGTGAAGCTGGTGAAGTTATACATCTGCGGAGCGGGCACAGGGACCCATCAGCACCGCGGTGGGCTCTCCAGCACGCGCACCCTGCCCGGGCCCATCCGGTGACGCCCTCCCTGGGCACTCCCGCCAGACACCAGGACAAGGGCTCCGCCCGGCCTGACACCCACCTGCCCGGGCCTGCACCCTCTCGTTGACCGCCCCCATGCACAGCTGTCTCCCCAGCGTCCCTGGGGCTAACTGAAGATGTGGTACACGTCCAGGAGGCCATGTCTCCTAGCTGTTCCCCCGTCCCCACCCCCATGGTCCATCTCCACAGGCGGCCAGAGAGGCCTGCCCGGTCCTCCCAGGGAGGGGTGGAGTGGGCGCCATCCCTACACCCCCATGGCCCTACCCACCACCCCTGCCAGCACCCGCAGGCCCTGCACCTCCTCATGCACACAAGGTCACAGGTGTGACCTGCCCTGCCGTGGCCCCGCCCCAGTGACCAGGCCCCGCCAGCACCCGGCAGGCAGGGGGCCTGTCAGCACTCACAGAGCCAGAGGGCAGAGGACGGAGCCACGTTAACAGGGACCCCCCGCGACACACAACCTCGTCCCAACACGCGGCGCCGTGCCACTCTGCTGGGGTCACGGTGCTGCACAGGGTCACGCCGAGGAGGTGAGCGAGCGGGTGATCTGCAAGCTCCGCTCCGCTCAAACTACACGGTGACACAGCAGAGAATTTATAACACGCTCTCTAAGCGTGCCGTGTAGAAACACCATCGGTTTACGATCGATAGCAAAGTGAAGCGTAACTTACGATGGGTCCGTATTCGCATGATGTTATGTTTATCATACAGACAATCTTCTGCAGCATAATCATTATTTGCAATATAAATTCATTACAAGTCATACAGATTGTAAGTTTAATTTTCTAAAATAAATATCAAAATGCCTTTAAGCATCTAAATTGACACGTCAGCAGAGAACTCTCCCCTATCCGGTCTGGAGACCCCTTTCGTAAGGTGCAGGTGATGTGACTTCAGAAGGCACACGTGTGTCCCGGGGCCACCTCTACCTGGGGCAGCCCCAGCAGCTGTGACACTACACGTGCACAGACACACGTGCCGGCCACGTGCCAACACGTCACCATGGTCCCCGTGGGCAGCATTGCTCATGCTGCCGGAAGGCCGGGCCGCGGTTGAGGCTGGGTGTCACTCTGGGGGGGACAGAAGCCCTCGGAAGTTCATGCCTGCCCAGGTGACGGCGGGACAGTGGATGAGGGGCCGGGCACGGGGGACAGCCGTGGGGAGCACTGACCTGGGCGGAGTTGGGGGGCCGGGCGTTGACCCTCCAGAGCAGCTGGCTGCCGGGGATGACCTGCACGGTCTCCTGGACCTCGGGCTCGGCGTCGGCCACGTCGCTGTCAGCTCTCTCGGCACTGCTGTCCTGAAACACACAGCAGCCATGTGGGCGCAGACGGGGCCCGGACCCCCTTCCGGACAAGCTGCCAGCCCCGAGCGGGACGCCCTCCAACGCAGGACAGGCCACCATGCCCGGCCTGTGACCTGTCTGTCCTGCATCTCAGGCAGCAGCCTGGCTCCGGCTTCCGCAGTGGTGACTCTGCTGGGCTCCCGTGCCGGGGGCCCCACAGACAGGGCATAGGTCAGCAGCCGATGGCCCAAATGACATGGGCCTGAGGCTGACGGCAGCCAGAGGGCAACACCACCTAACACGGCATGTCCGTCCCCAGCAAAGGGGACTCTAACAGAGCACTCTGGGACACGGGGCCTCCCCGCGTGTGGCCCGCGGCCACGGAGGGTCTGTGTTTGCGACCGCTTGGCCACACTGCTGGGCGAGACGCCCCCGAGGCCACATCTCAGATGCAGCAGCTGCACCTACTTCCAAATTGAGGACGGGGGCCTGGAAGAGGAGGAGCGTGAGGCCGCGGCACCGACACGCGACAAACACAGCCGGGGCCTCCCTGCAGGCTGCGGTCACGCGGTCGGCACCAGAGCTGAGAAGGACGAGCCCCTCGCCCGGGCCGCCCAGGACGGCAGGGCCATGCCGAGTGGGCTGGGCACGCCGGGGCTGCCCCGTGCCCACCTGGAACCACACTGCTTCTCAGCACGGGCGTTGCTGGGGGTGTCGGACAGCGCCCGGGACAGCACGATAAAAACACGCACGCCTCGGGTCCGGCTCGTTATCCGGAAAAACGTGACCTCTCTCGTGAACCAGCACTTCCAGGGTCCACTCGGGAGCGGTCTCGGGGCCTCGGGGGATCCCACTGCAGGAGACGCGGCCCCGTCACAACTCGCCGGCTGCCGGCCGCACTTCCTGCCTCTCAGAACGGACGACGCAGACGCGACACTCGCTAGCTGTTCTATCAGGTCTAAGCCAGCGCGGTGCGGGGGACGGGAGGCTGAAGGAGTCTCCGGAACACAGAGTTTCCAGGAGGAAGTGGAGGCGCCCCGACAGCCAGGCTTGGGGGACAGACGCTGTGACACAGGACACCCTATGCCCGGCAGTCAGCACAGGAGCCTGTGCAGTCGGAATGCAGACCGACGGCACTGCCAGCCCAGCACCCCGGACGGGCAGCTGCACGGATAGGCACGGTCCCTGCGTCCGCCTGCCCCAGGCCCTGAAGGCACACCGTGCCCACACGAGGGGACACGGGGCCGCTTCCCCGGCCGGACACGCGCACGCGGAGCAGCGCCTTACCGGCTGTGACTGTCTCGGGAGCTCACCCCTCCGTTCCTGCTTCCTGAAGGACTCGTATGCCACCGGGTCGATGCCCCACAGGCCCTCCGTCCACTTCCCGTAGATGATGGACAGCTTCCTCCTGCTGCATCAAGGGTCAGAACCAAGGTCACAGCGGGTACACACCAGGGACCGAACGCACCACCCCTCAGTTCTGACTGTGGAACGCGCTCCGTCCTGGCTTGTCGTGCTGTAAACCTTAGGGCATCTCTGGCCATAAACGCAAGGAAGGAAATTTGCATCATGGGGTCTCTACTCGTGCCCTTGAGACAAACCAGTCACCCTCCTCACATACCAAAGCGTTAGAGAAAATGAAGGCCACAGCCCGCAGGCGGGGGACAGGGCTGTGCGGACAGGAAGGGCAGAGACACGTCCCCACATTCTAACTTAAAACCCCGCGTGCCCGTGGGGTGTTCACACACAAGTGGCCCGTCCCCTAGAAGGGCACACGGGCCTTCTCGTGTCAGCCGACGTCGCGGGCTCTCCCCTCACGCCCGCGGACAGGACGCCCCTCGGCGCCCGCCTGCTCTCCTCGTCGGCCAACCAGAACTCCGAGACCTTCCGGACTGGCCAAGCTCCCTGCAGGTTCTGAGGCAGCGAGGCCACAGTGTCAGAATTTTTCTTTTTGTTTGCGTCTTCCTAGGGGGAGGGCACACAGCTGGCCGCACACTCCTGGGGACACCCTGGGTGTACACGGCATCTCAGAGGCTCACCCTGGAAGGCCAGCGGTGGCAACTGGCGGGGAAACACGGCCAGTCCTCACTCAGGAGAGACAGCCTGGCGGACACGCTCTGTCTCCAAGAGGCCATGCTAGGGAAGAGCTCCCTCAAATTTGGGGTGGAAAACAGCGAATGAGAAGAGGGTCCGTACGTGCTCCCTGAGGGCGGGCAGGCAGGCGTGGCCTCGAGGGCACTGCCTACGCTGACCGCGGTCTCTCTGGGGCAACTCGACCAGGGAGAGGCTGCTCACGACCGGGACTGCGGTCCTGTAAGGTGGCTCCGAGCCCTAACTCGGTCAGCGGGCCACGTGGGCAGCCTGAGGTGCCCAGGCGCTCTCCAGGCTGGTTCTGGAGCCTGACGCAGGGGGCGGAGCGGAAGCGCCTGCTGCTTTATGTTGGGAACTCGCTTCTAATTGAGAATGTACAGATTTTAGGGGCTGGAAGGAGTCTCGTGTCCCTATGTGAGGACGCTACTGGCCATCAGCCTGTCCAGCCCTAACTTTCGGGCTGGAATGAACGGGTCACACGAGCACGATGCTCGTAGCTGAGCTGTGCTGACAACACGTGAGGGACACGGTGGGTGCAGGACACGCGGCCACGCTCAGGTCCAGGGTTTCTGAAAGCCCGCGGCGTGACCGCTGCGGTGCCGGAGACAGACAGGCCCTGGCCTTTCCCCCGGGAGAGCGTGCGACGGGCCCCAGGCGCCCTGAAGACATGTCCTCCTTCTACTTTATGCTCAGTAACAAGTGTTTTCAAAACTAAAGCGAGGCATAAAAGGAGCTGTGACTCTGTGTGCTGTGCACAGACGACGCTGGTGAAGCTTCTGCACGCGGGTCCGGGGGGCGGTGGGACCCGCCCCGTCCGCGGACCTACTTCTTGTCCTGGATGTGGCCTTCCACTCTGTGCAGCTCTTTCCCAAACAGCCCGCACGGCTTGAAGTGAAGCACGCACTTATCTCCAGTTCTGCGGGAAAGAGAAGCACGGGACTGAATCGTGGGAGAGACGTCGAGAAAAGGCCTGTGGGGCCGGGGCGGAGACGGAGGCGGAGACAGAGCACGGTGTGCAGGCTGCGGGCGGCACCGCAGGGTGACATCAGGGCGTGACATCGGGGAGTGACATCGGGGAGTGACTGCCAACAGGCAGGGGGACTTTCCAGGGTGATGGAAATGGTTGCACAATTCAGTAAATTTAGTACAAACCGCTTAAATGCCCGCTTTAAATGGGTGGATTTTATGATAAGTAAGTAATATCTCAATAAGGCTGTGAACTTCCAGGAGCGGGAAGGACAGACTGGACAGCAGACAGTGATTGATGGTCACCATATTTTCACCTGGGAATCCACACCATTCTTTACTGTCGTTTAAAGCTTCAAAATAAGTTGACAATTGTGACTAAAACCAAATACCAATACAGAACACGAATGGTGACCCAAAGCGGACCAGATCCGGTTGCGCCAGCGCGAGGCCGGGGGCCGCCCGTCTGGAAGCTGGGGCAGGGGGCACGAGGGACCTGCCCCCCCCCAGGGCCGCACTCGGAGTGGAGGGAGAACACGTCCCGGGGTTCGAAGCCAGCACTTGTGCACGGCCCTCGGTTGTCTCTGCTGCCCAGTCTGTCACGTGACGGTCGGGCACCGTTACCTGTGGTTTAAAATCTCCACCGTCCCGTACTGCTCTATCCACAGCTTCCCGATGATCACGTTGTGCACGCAGCAGGTGGGGTTGGTCCAGGTGTAAGCCTCGCTGTGTCTGTCATGGGGGCCAGAAAACGAGCAGTCAGAGCCAGCGAGACGGACACTGTGACCCAGGCGCAGCCGGCCGGAGCTGCTCCGTGACGGCCTGAGGGCTGCGGAGGACGGCGTGGCTCCTCATTCGGCGTGCGCTTGAAATTTAGTTCTTTCCTTTGTAGCATCGGCAAAGCTTTCTAGTTGAATGTCAAGGCCAGTTCACGAGCGTGAGGGCGACGGGGCGGGAGGGTGCGTCCGGTGAAGCTGGACAGAGGGCCGCCTGGGCAGACACGCAGCGGGGCCAAGGGCCGGCGGACGGCAGGACACTGTGGGTGTCTGCGGCTCGGGACGACCCGCACCTCCTGCCACTGCCGGGTGTGACCCAAACGCACCCGTCCACGCGGCATGCAGCTTTCCAGCCCCAGGAAAGCAAAGGCCTCCGGGACAGGCATGCCTCCCGGAGGTGACCTTGCCCGCACCAGGACGCAGGGCAGGACTGCGGGGAGACTGTCCCCCAGTCCTCGTGGACCCCTGACCACCAGGCTGGGCCGCTGCCTCCCACGCCAGCCGGCCTCACGCCTCAGATCCGCTGCGAGGGACGCCGCCTCTGCTTCACGGTGTCTGACCGGCGGGAGGGGCAGCGCTGAGCCGGGCGGGGCGACTGGAGGACGGCCCCTCCGCGTCCCTCACCCGCGGGGTGCAGACCCTCCCACACTCGGCCAGGATCAGTCTGCCTGACCGACAGCACGCGCGTGGGGGAGGGGTACGGCTGGGTCACGTCTGAGATCACGTCACCAAAAACACTGTGGCTCCCCCTTGGTGGCTTCTCCCCTGGCATCCCCAGTTCTGAAGGGGGCCAGTGCCACTCTAGTGGGGGCTCCTCTAGGGACGCAGCCGGCCCCACCCTGCCTGCCGCCTGCTGGGGCTCGAGCTGGCCCCCAACGAGGAAGCCTCCCTCGTGGGGACGGGACAGGGACGGGGACAGGGACGGGGACAGGATGGGGACAGGATGGGGACAGGGATGGGGACAGGGACGGGGACAGGGATGGGGACAGGACGGGGACAGGATGGGGGCAGGGACGGCGGCGCTCACCGGAGCAGCTCCAGCGTGATGGTGCCACGGGGCTCGGCCTCCACGCTCTTGCCCCAGAAGCGCAGCTTGGGGTAGATGGAGCCGTGGAACAGGAAGTCCTGTTGCAGGCCCTCGGAGTGGAAGGCGCTGACGGGCGGGTGGTGGCTGACCTGCTCGCATATGAATCGGAACCCCAAGTCTTCCCTGGGTGCAAAGCCGAGAGGGAGGGCCGCGTGAGCGACTGCGAACCGGCAACGCTCAGCCCCGCAGCCCGGCGGGCACGAGCGCGTGACAGGGGCCCGGGGTCTGGGAGAGGAGCTGGGGACCGGGAGCCATGCCACGCTGCCGGCCACACACGCTCTGGTGGTGCGCGTGCTAACAGACGGCGCACACACACGCACACGCTACCTCCACGGGACCCCCCCGAGCACGTGCCAAGAGAGCCTGCAAGTATCTCCCAGAGCCTGTGACTTAAGAGACCCCCAATACCAGCCTGTCACCTGAGTCTCAAGGGACACCACTGCCCAGTAACCAAGACTGATGCCTTTCCAGCCTTTCCGAAGGGGGTTCCTTCCGAGCCTCCTGAGGCTCCTGGGGGCTCAGCGATAGGATGTCTGACGCCCTAGGGTATTTCTGGCCAGGAAATAGGATCTTTAGTACGCTCTCTTTTTCAACAAAAATGTCATTTTTCAATTGTTCCAGAACTATGAATACACCTACGGTGTAGTCATTAAAAATTATAAAAGCTGAACCACATAATTGCCAACTTAAGTGGAATCTGAACTTCCAATCATTACGGAGGAAGGAAAGTTAAAAAATTAGATTCTAAAAGGTTGCCTACCAAGGTATGTAATTTACAAAATGAATGCTTGTCTAAGGAAAGAAAGTGTTATTTTTGGCTCACAGGAGCGACCTGGGAGGCCACAGAGCCACGGGCGAATGCGCCCCAAACAGGAAGCTGCGCAGGTCCTGTGCGTGTAGCGTGCCGGACGCCGGCCCCGGGTGCCCGGAGGGCACGTGGCAACTGAGTGTGCCGGGCTCGGAAAGAGCTTCAGCTTCCCACCTGTGTGCGGACCTTGTGTCCAGCCCCGGATGGGACGAGCCGCCAGGCGCGTCGCCCTGCTCTGGGACGGCCACCACCTCTCACCACACTGCTCACTCCCATGCCTGGGGCTTTGTCATGCTATGCTTTGGTTTTTCTGTTCAAGATATTTTAATGATGCTTTTTAGTAAGCTAAAATGCTAACAATTCTCTAACAGCTCGGTGAGGTCGGCCTCTTGACGCTGGCACCGGACACGAGGACGGGAGGAAAGCTGCACAGGAGAGACGCCCCGGAGGGGGGACGGGAGAGACGCCCCGGAGGGGCACGCGCAGCTCAACCAAGACGGGGGCCCTCACAGTGACTCAGGGCGAGTCCCCCCACCCGGGCCTCCGTCTCCTGCTTCTGCACTGAAGAGGCAGGGCTGTCTCCTACTGTCCCTCTGGCTGTGACGCCGCCTGCCGACCCCTCTGTCACTCACGCAGAAGCCGCACGGCAGCACACCCCGTGCAGTCTCCAAAGTCGCCCAGCGTTCTCCAAGGTCACAGGAGTCCAAGACCAGCCGCCCTCCGGCCCAGCGCCAGCCAGCAGCTAAGCTGCGCCAAGAGCTGAGCCGGCACGGCGTTCCCGCCGGCGGGGGCTGGGGCGGCAGCGCAGCAGGGCCAAGCCCCAGGCGGCCGGGCCCTGGGCTCCCACGAGCCGCCGGCACCGCGCCACTGTGCATGCACAGGCCTGCGTCCCCAAAGGCACGGTTCCGCCCCAGAGGGTCTGACGCTGGAGCTGCCACACTCCCGCACGCACCTGCCGCCCCACGCGCCCGAGGAGTGTGTAAGCACACCAACGTCCCAGACGCCACCCCGGTCGCCCCGACACATGTCAACTAAGGTCAAGCGCCGGGGTCAGACACGTCGAGAAAACGACCCTCCTTGGAACCTGAGATGCCCCTGACCACAGGACACGCCGTTATCGTACTTTATCAAAGAGAGAGAAACCGGTGCAAATCGAATTGCGACCGGTAGGAGCGCAAAACGGGAACCTGTGTCTGGGCATCAGCGAAGGGCCGCGCCCGGCGGAGAGCGGTCAGCATCGCGGGGGCGAACGTGGCCTCACGGTGCACGGAAAGGCTACAGACGAACAACGTCGCATTACGTAAACGCGCCCACACGCACGCGCACACATGCACGCACACGCACATGCGCACACACACGCACGCACCCGCACGCACACACACACGTACATGCACGCGCACATGAGCACACGCACACGCGTGCGCGCACACGCACGCGCACACGCACACTCACGCACGCGCACATGCACGCACGCACACACGTGCACATGCACACACATGCACACGCGGGAGAGGACCAGAAGGCTACGGCCGGCTGCCTCACCCGGGACCACGTCTGACTCTTCCCTCTCCCTTGCCTGAGTTTTGTGCACCCTCAAGAGAAAAGTTCTTGGAATTAGAAACAAACTTTTAAACAAACTTGGAATTAGAAACAACAGGCCGACAGGACCCAGGTGGCAGAAAAGTTACCATGGGTGTCACCAAACCCTCCTGGAGCCCAGGCCCAGGCTGTGCTCACTCGGTGACCTGCCTGATGACGGGGCAACCACAGAAACGTCTATGAGCCTGTCGCCTGCTGCCCTGGGGGTGCCTCTGAGGCGGTGTGGCCAGCGGACAGCACCGCACATGGCCGGCCTGCCCCGGGCCAGCCCCAGGTGTGTGTGCTGGGCGCCGGGACCAGGCTGGATGCTGGGGACAGGCAGGGAGCAGGAGGGGCTGCTGAAGCTGCCTGTGAGTCACACCCGCGGTAAGGAGTGGCCTGGTCACTGCCCTGCCCACACGTGGCAGTGGAGGCCAGGAGCAGAGCCCTCCTCCCAGCCACTGTCCCCGCCAGGTGGCCCGCCCTCTGCCGGCTCGGCTGGCGAGCATGCTTGCCTGACCTGTTTCCACTCCGGCTCGAGGCCACCGAGCCACCGGCCCGCGTCTCCCCGCCCAGAACCAACCCCGCCCTCTGTGACTCTTCTGGTCACTAGGGTTTGACCCTCCTACGTACACCGTCTCCTCGCCCGTCCGGGGTGGTCCGGGCCACGCGGCGAATGCCCTCGTGTGCAGGGCCCACTCCCAGGGGCCCCCGTCA